GAAAGAGTTTTGTGAGTTTTCTAGAAAGGTTTCTGGATTTTCCATAACAAAGTCTTTTTTCCAGCTGTTGATTTTAAAAGCAGCTGTTCAAAATATGTTGAGGGCCTCATAAGTCCGTATGCAACTAGGCAGATGACATTTGACTCATGGTAAAATGAAGTACAAGTAAGAAGTAGCATTCCTATAACCTTGGGTGTCCACATGGACAATTCCTGGGGTTGATAAGCTTTTTTTAGGGGAACCGACCACCCAAATTTCTACCTGCAATCAGTGAGAGCTGCAAGTACTTAGCGTTTGTGAAGAAAAAAACTGTCTCAAGTTCTGTACCCCCAAAAAGATGGCATGCAAAACCAACAGTCGGGGCTCTGGAAAGTGTCATCTTAAGAGATTAGCCCGAGGTCACATAGCTGGGTTCATTGGGAAAGACACAGGACTCGTAACACATCTTGCATTAGTCTACATTGCCTTCATTTTGACTCCCACATTTTCTGGGGTGGGGTTTTATAATGCTGATGTTTCTTCACTTTATGGACTGCTTTTTAATCAAGGAACAGGTATATGATGTGCCATATGTAGGCAGTTGTGACCTTGTTTCCAATGTTAATGATTAGCTGGTATGCACTCCAGACAGTGCTGAACTGTCCTGCACTTGCTCTCCCCATCTCAGTCATAGTTTTAAATGCACTGGTTATGGTTAGTCCCCAGTGCCACAATATTAACCACTGCTATGCAAAACACATGTTATCTCACTATGGCAGTCTGTCATTCCTGTTTAATAATCCTGGCATGTGCCTACTCTTTTTCTCACGTGTTCAGATACATCAGCTCAGGCACGTAAACAGGTTCTGCAAGCTTGAACAACTTGCAGGTGTTACAGGAAGGCACCTGTACTGCTCTGCACAGTTCCCACACAAAAGGAATGATCAGGAATTCCTGCCCCCTTCCCCTCTCCTCCCGTTAGGTGCATTAATATCTAATCTGTCTCTACCATATCATCTCTGTGACACCTGAGTGCCTTAGTGCCTCAGCATCATTCGAGATAGTCTCTTAATTGCCACTTCAGAACAAGATGACAGACCCTTGATCTCCCAAAAGCAGGTTTCACTCTGACTGTAACTTTGGCCTCTGTGGCATAAGGAACAAAACTTCCCACATGCTCCCATATGGGCCAACTCCTAAGCACCAGCTTGGGCCAATAGAAGGTGAGAGTACACAGAGGGCACGTCTACATGTGCACAGTTACTGCTCAGTAACTATGGTGATTTACACCGAGTTGGCCATAAATTTGCTATCTGCATGATGCAAATTTACACCCACTTAGTTACCGTGCAGTAAAGCATGTGTAGATGCCTTACTGCACAGTAACACTCTGTATGTGCTCCGACTTGGGAGTAACTTTACTCCCAAGTCGGAGTACACACAGCACCACTGCGCTGTAATGCCTACACGTGTAGACACCGGTCTAAAAACTGCTTACTGAGCAGGAACTTACGCCAGTAAGACACTGTGCAGTAAATGCATGTGTAGACACACCCAGAGCCATGCAGCATTGGGTCCTGTATCTGTGCAGATGCTAACCAGAAGGTCCTTAACTTCCCATCCTCCGAACTAATCACTTAACAAAATGCTGCTGCTTATTAGTCCACCACACCTTAACATGCCTGATCCTAGGACTGAAACACAGGCACTTCAGAAGGGCGCAGTAGCTATCAGCTGGCCCTGTTCTCAGAGGGCATCTAACCATCAGCCCTCAGGCTAAGACTTCCTGTTTTATTTTTTCCTTTGAAAAATTTCCTCTCACTTTCCCCTGGGAGGGGGTCAAGAATGATACATCCTATTCCACTGGAAATCAAGTCGATGATAACCTCTGGACATCTGCAACAGAAAGGCATTTCGAAAGCCCTTTGCTGGGACTGAGGGGCAGAACGCAGCCATGAGAAACTCTGCTGTTTGACCACAACAGCACCACACGTTCCCCAAATAAGGCAACCAATGAATTTCCACAACATTCATCTCCCCTCCCAACCTCCAAATTGAAATATTTACCCCTCATCAGGATTTCAAACTGAATAAATTGATAACAGGCCCCTACAACTTCCCCTATCATTTTTGCTGAACGTTTAAAATCAGATGGAAGATGCTGAGTTTCCATACACAAAACAGGAAATTTGGGATGGTTTTGGAGAGCAAGAAATGTATTTTGGGGGCTTGTTTTCCCATAAGAGCATTTTGAGAGCATTCATACCAGTAGGAAAAAGATACAGAATCGTTATGCAGTGACTTACAATCTCTCGCCATCAAAAGTACAAGAAAAACTAAAAATAAGTGGCCCCTCCCCCCACACTTATAACCACTTGTAAATGAGCAGCACTGCTCCTGTTTACTTTGTTGTCACAAAACTAGGCCAGCCTGGCTCTCTATTAACTGCTTGGTGTGCAGAGCCCTGAAAAGACTAGTTAGTGGAAAGAGCTGAACACCAAGTTTTAACTTTCCCTTCTCCATCATTCCTTTCATTCCTTGATCAAAGCCTCATCTGCTCATCACCAATTTGCTAAGAAATTGAACATGAAAAGAATGTGATTCCACAACTCAGTAAAGAGCATTGTGGGCAGTTAATGATTAATTAGCATTATAATACATGACAGGCTGGCTTCACAGAAGAAGCTTGTTTTGATACTGAATTTCTTCTGTAGAGAAAATCTCCAGGCGGATGCCAGTGCTATGTGCAAAGCGGTGCCAAAAAGTTCCCTCCTGCTTTTTTAGGATGACAAAGCAGGGGTTAGAAAGAACTGTCTAAGCTGCTCCCTGGATGAGGGGATTTTAAGTCAAGACAACTGTTTTAGAGCCTGATCAAGGGGATTGACTTTGGTGGGCTTTGGAACAGGCCCGACAGTTCATCTGCCAGGGGATGGGTTGCTAGTAGATGTTGTCAAAAAGGGTCTTTCACTCACTTTTGCGTCAGGAGTGCATGTCATTCACTGAGCTCCGGCAGCTTGGCAGCAGGTGTGGGACCTGAAGTATGATGCTAGGTAACTTCAGCATTATACCCATCCGCTACGCTGCTGAGCACTCCTGGCCAGTTGTGAACTGTGATAAAGGCACTGGAGGGCCAGGGGAGAAACATTTAAGCTTCCCCTTGTTCCTTGAGCTGCAATTTCCCACAAATGAGTTCTATCCCTGTACTGCAAAGATAAACAGAGCTTATCCTGTTTGCCAGCAGAAAAGCAAACAATGGAACAATAGCTGTGTTTTCATATGTAACTGTCTATATGGCGAGTGCTAGCATCAGTCCACGTCAAGCCAGCATCTTATAACGGGGACTGAAAGGAAGAGAAGAGATCTTAAATACCAAGGGAAATGCAGAGGCAATTTCCCACCGGAAGACCATATTCATGTTTTTGGAAGCAGAGAACCAAAGTCAGAAGCCGTTGCAGCACGGGATTATTTCGAAAAAAAAAAGTCATTTACATTTCTTTCCTACAGATTTATTTATTCATGCTTCATCACTGAGTTTGGTTGTGAAATCACAGCCAGTTTCAAGTGGAAGACCCATCTAAGTCACTTGCCAACTATATATTTAGTAAGGACATACCGCATGTCAACATATATCTAGCCACTGCTCCTGGATTTATAGCACCTCCACAAACGCTGAATCAGACCTCTGAAGTCTGACACGCGAACACTAAAAATAATGGAAGAGGCGAGGTGATGTAAACCCGTGCATTTCACGCGTCTTGGAAAGTTGGCGGCGTTTGTTTTAAAATATTTGTTTGATGCCGAAATGCATCACCCGTGTGATACTTCTTTTAGCACACTGCAATCTCGCCCTCTTCAACAGAGCCCCAAGAGAAAGCAAATCCAGACTGTGCAGAAACATCACTCACATAAGTAGCCCTCGTTCCTATGAGGTCTACTCAGGTGAGCTTGGAGGACTACCTCCTTGCTAGGAGCTCCCTGTGGAGAGGGTCGGTCTTTTGACTTATTTAGCGCCCCAGGCACCTCTGATGCAGTATACACCATACCTCACCATTCAACCAACCCAGTTATTTATTGACACCCCCCACCATAAAAAAGTACCAGGCTTGCAATGACTCACCTTGGGGTTGCTGCCGGTTTCCAGTATCTGCAGAAGAGGTACTGCCCGTCTGCATTGACCATGTGGGGAAGGTCCTGATAAGGGACATGCTGAGGACTCCTTCTGGGGGAACTTTCCTCTGGCATTCTGGAAGGACGACCTGCAAGGTGTTGGAAGAAACAGGACATACTTTACCGGGGGGCAGGCAAGACACTGTCCCAGGGCTTTCTTGGGTGCAGACATTCAGGAAGGCAACTTGCCACTGCTGGAAATCCCCCTCCCCTCTCCTCCCACCCTCCCAACGTCTTGTCCTTGCTCCCAGCCGGCAGTAGCAAGCCCTCTTCAGCTTCTCGCCAGTGCGCTCAAGCTACTGGAGAAGGGAGAAAGAACCAGCCTGCTCCATTTCAGCTGCTCGCCCCCTCCCCTCCTTCCCTCCTCCTACCCATCTGGGTTTCTTTGATACATCAATTTGGGAAGCGGATCTTCCCGGGGAGATTTTGGAGCCGCAAGCAAGGGGGTCCGAGGCAGCGGGGGCAGAGGCTGGCTCGCCTCTCCCCCGGCCGCCGCCGCG